CGTTTAGCTGCCTTCCCACTAGCTGTGGAGCTGCTGTGTTTATCCTACAGCTCTCTGTCCTGGGGGCACACGCTCTAAGTTAGTTTTAGAACAATAAATGTAGCCTGTGTGTAAGAATGCCTTCTGTTTCTTGTCAATTAGACTTTTCAGCTTTTAAAAATTTTTAGATTCAAAAATTTGACATAGGAATGAGATACATCACAGCAACTTGTCAGCTGTCATTAAGGAAACAATTGTCCTCTGTTGGAGAGGGCAATGCAGCTATTGCCACATGATTAGAACATAGCACTGCAATTTAGCTACAAAAAGAAGTAATAAAGAAGGGAGGAACAAAGAGGTGAAGGCAAAAAAAAAAGAAAGAAGGAGATGAAGCATGCTTCCAGGTGAGAGTTTTGTGCCTTCCATGCACTTAAAAATAAAACTATCCAGCTTGCAGTGGTGTTGCTCAAATAGCTTTACTGAGGCTCTCGCATTTTTAGCTAAATACAGTCAAGGCAGGATCCAGCTTGCAGGTTAGGATTTGTAGATTGATACATCTGCATTAAGTTGTCTGCCTGTGAACCCAGTATTTAAGCTCCTATTCTTATGTGAAGAGACACAGTTAATTCAGTTGATGAAACCCAGGATGCTTTTCAGCCTATTCCAAAGCAGATACCTCCACTGACCACCTGCAGAGCTCTCCAGGCTCCCCTGGGCTCGTGGAGTTGCCTGAAGATACACGTCTAATACTGTTCAGGATTTCCTGTGGTATCGGAGACATCTGCACAGAGCGAGCACATATAAACCAGGGTTTAGAGGGGACACATGCCATTGTGGTCAAGCCAGGTATCATAGTCCACAACATCTGAAAAGACATTGGACACCTCTGTTTAGACTCCAGAGTCCTGGCCTAGGTCTCTGTTTTTCATAATGGGAGCATAGCTTAAGCACCTTCTTGTAGACACCTAAATATAGGTGTCTTAATCTGCAAGCCGAGTCCCACATTAGCAGCATTAGATAAAAGAACTAATGCTTGTATTAAGACCATGTCTCTTTGCTCCAGTGTACTTGATAATGCTTACATGCAGTGTGATGAGCATAAAACACTGATTTCTCAGCCTTCTATATAAAATAACTGTGTTCAGGCATATATATTTTGCTAAAATTCTTCATGACTTGTAACAAGTCAATCATTAGTGCTAATTACACTTACCTGTTAGAGTCCTGCTTTAGCTGCAAGACTGGCACAGACTATGATTTTATTAAGAATGATGCCAGCTTGTCAGTGACAGTGATTGCGTCTGCGCACAAGGCACCGGAGTGACACTGTCCTTTCTTTTATGAAAGCCATTTTTGCTCTGCCACCCCCTTAAATTTAGGAATCGATCTGAGTATGAATTCTCAAAGCCCATTATGCCACCACTTCCACTGATTCACAAATGCATTTGGGTGAAGCTGCACTTGAACATGCATTAGCACTTAACTTACAGAGCCTGTGTCCTGGCTGTGAAATTCTTTGGGTTTAGTTACGTTCAGAAGTAGAAGTGAAAAAAAAAAAAGATGCTGGTTACTGCACTGTATTGCTAGAGCCTTCATGGAGGTAAACAAACTCTGCTGTTAACACCGCTTCGCTATTTATTGCAACACTTCACTGATTTCATGGTGTTCGTTATTCTGTATGGCTTTTACTCCTACCCATCGCTCAGGAGTGGCAGCGTGTAGGTTCTTGCTATTGTGTACTGTGTCTCACCCCATTGCTGGTGCTGTGTGAGGGAGTGGGTGCTCGGGAAGCGAAGGTGTGAGTCCAGGCCATGCTGGCTAATTCCTGCTCCAGCCCCTTCAGTAGGAACTGTCACCAGGTTTCTTACTGTCTCTCCAAAGTAGGGCGATGCTTTCTGTTTTCTCATGTTAATGGAACTTAGTACAAAGAGAGGTCTCCCTGCAGATGGCTGATGGAGAGCTTCTCCTCTGTATTTAGTGCAGAATTCAGTTTCTCATGTAAATCAGTGCTATCGATGAGCCAGGTTCACACGTCCTGCTCTGTACTCGGGTAGAGTTTTATTCACTATTTATATATTCATGAGAAAGTGGGAAGTAAAGCCATCAAATGATCCCCAGACCTCATAAAAGCAGAAGATATTTTGATATTCTCATTTAGTTTGCTATGGCCTTAAATGACTGCTACTGTAGGACGTTGGGGCTGACTCTTTCTTAACTGTATGAAGAGACTCCGTATTACCCGTTGTGTCGGAACAGACTTACTTGAAGAACACACACATAGAAAGTTGGAGGGAGGTAAACTATTTAAAGTGTCTTAATTTTAAGAATAGATGAGAGATTTCTGTATCTGTAGTAAGAACAAGTAGCAGCATAATCTCTGCAGTGAACTGGAGGAGGGAGGAAGCTTCTGCAGTGTCAGGGTGCCTTGGGCAGCAGTGCTGCCTGGCCTGTTGGGCATCCTGCTGTCTTCTGCAATGGTAGGGTCAGCGTCTGAGGTTACCTTACATGCACTGTCTCTTTTACACCTTGAAAAAGGGCTTTATGCACTGCCCACAGCTGCAGAAGAAGAGACTGAGACACCTGAGGTGTCTTATAGCCACATGGCCAGGAGAAGGAAAACACAGGCTCGAACGCATTTTGTCCAGTGGCTTTCAGGTCTACCTGAAAGGTCTCCTACAGCAGCTGCACACCTCTGAACTGATGCTTTTCCTCACAATTTATTTTCCTCTGAGTGTTTCTAAAGCCTATTGCATGTGATTTTGTTGTTGGAAGGATGCATTTAGTCCATAAACATGATGCTGTACTTCAATAGCAACATCTCAATTATTTTTGTTTGTTCTTCTCCACATGCTGTTGCCCTGCACAAGTCATTGGCCATGGAGACATAGTGGCACTTCTTGCCTCACAAAACCTCTGTCACACAGCAGTAATTTTAGGTGCACAATTATTGGGTGTGGGTTTTTTAGGATTTTTGTAAATATGTGTGATTTTCAGGGAGTATGTCATTCCTGACAGTATGGGTAAGGACTGAGATGAGTAATGGTGGTTTACATCTTGTACAGACTGAAACATAATTTTGTAAAAAGTTTTCAGTCAAAATCAATGTTATTGTTAACTTTATATTGCTGGTTCTCCAGGTGACCTAATAAAGAAGGAAAAACTCTAAATATACAAATGAGGAGAAAATATTTCTTCTGATTATTTCAATAACTCAAAAATTAGGTTCACCTGCCTTAAAGAATATGAAGGCTTGAGGGCAAGTGAAATTATACAGTACTATAGTGTGGAGACACAGCAGTTAAATGAAGACATTTTATTTGATTTAAGAATATGAATTATTAATCACAATCTGAGTAGAAGAAAATTTATGGATTCACTCTGTCTTTTATGCACCTATGAGATTTTACTCCAAGCATGACTTTTAACCAACCAGCCACTTGTCCACAAAATCAAAGCAGACTTGACATTGCTGATATTCCAAAGATTTAAGAGAGAACCTCTATTCTGAGTTCAATTTATTTTCACAAAAAAATAAGTGTACAATGCCAACTTTTTAAAAAGTTGCTTTTTAAAGAGTCTCTTGAAACATAATAGACACTCACTGAAGTCAACATAGCATTTTCTGTTGGTCTGCATTCTACATAAAAATTCTTGTTTTCAAAAAAGTAAACTCTTACCCCTCTCCAATAAGCAGGCATTGAGTAGTTCAGAAATCATAGTGGAGAGTTTTTACATTGTGTTTTAATTGAAAAATACAAAAGTATTTCCAAGCACTGTTTTGTTGAATCCAATTTCAATTTATTAGCCACCCATTTGAATACTTAATTATTAATAAATTCATTAAATAATTTATCAGATCTTTCCTACCGTCAACCCTAAGCGCAAGAGGCCGGTTTTAGTTCTGTCCCTACAGTTACACAGGGTGTGTAACTACTTTTTAAAGGAAAAAAATAAAAGGAAAGAATTAATTTCATTTCTGTAGGTACTCCTGTTTTTTTGCCCCTGTGCATCACAGCACCTAAGGCTTTGTGCTTTACTACCTTTAAGCTGAATGCATCACCTACTGGGCCTGTCTGCTCAGGTTCTCCTCTGGAAGAGAGCAGGGTGGTGTATTATGCCACCGTTGCAGATGCATTCAGTGGCATATTCTTCTCCTATTTGTTTGAATTTTCTTGCTTAAGTAATTCACTTCATTCTTCTCTGGAAGTTACCAAGGGACATTAGTTTCTAGAAGTGTTTATACACAATACTGCTGTTGTACCACTACTGTCGTTGAAGGAGCCTTCAAGAAAATACTTATTTTTTTAAAAAAAGCAAATTTGCTATAGGTTAGGCATGAATACAAAGTTTGAATCTTAAATACTGGATGTTTAGGCCTGGCATATCGAGATGCTGCAGGTATATATTATAAAGCTGAGTTATTTTTATTGTCTTGCTGGAACAGATTACTATTTTTATCCTGGTTTGGTGCAGTTATTGTTTACTTTCTGGCCCTTGGTAGCTGAAAATGCCTATAGATATTAATATAGTTCTCTTGCCACAGGGTATCTAGTTTCCATAGATTAGTATTGTGTTGTCACCAGCTGATACCATCCAACTGCGTGAGGTTTTAGGCAATATGCACTGGCTAAGTCTTCTTAGGAACTGCTTTTAACCAATTTGCAGGAAAGCTTTGAGATCCATTGCAGTGATATCCACCTTTATTAGCACGTTAAAATATTTCCTGGTTACTACTTTAAGAAAGGTCACCTGTTTTGGAAAAAAAGCCACCACCAAACTTATTGTCGTGTGCTCTTCATATGTAGTCTGTGAGCCTGGAAAAAATTTGTCTTAGAGCGAACCAGGAAAATAACCACACCAGAAAAGCTGACTAGAGGCAAGTACTGTGTATCCAATTGACATGACATGGTTTAGCCACTGAGTGTTCACTTTCTACTTCTAGCGTAGGCTGAACTCCTCCTCACTATTAAGCTTCTGAAATTCAATCACAATGAGCTGCTTGGTTTTTTTTATTAATGCAGGGGTGGACCAGGCATTACCACAAGAACGTCGAACTCCTGTTACTCCGTCCTCTTCCTCTCGCTATCACCGTCGCAGGTCCTCAGGGTCACGTGATGAGCGCTATAGGTCGGGTAAGTACAACTGAAGACCACAGAGTGGGAGTGAAAATTTCAAATGACTGGTTCTGTTCTTTGCTTTTTTAAAAATAATCTTGTTATAAACTCTTGGAGCAGGGGACCGGGTGACAAAGGACATGGAAAAGGCCAAGATACTTAATGTGTTCTTTGCCCTGGTCTTTACTGGTGAGACTTGTCTTCAGGAATCCAAGGCCCTGAGACCAGTGGGAAAGTCTTGAACAATTAAAACCTACCCTCCATGAAGGAGGATCAGGACATTTGAACAAACTGAACATGTACAAGTCCATGGGACATGATGGGACGCATCATTGGCTGATGTCATTGTGAGGCCACTCTCAATTCTTTGAAAGGTTGTGGCAATCAGGGGGTGTTCCTGAGGGCTGGAAGAAAGCAAGATTCATTCCTGTCTTCAGGGAATCTATAGGCCAAACAGCCTCACCTCAGTCTCTGAGAAGGTGGTGGAGCAAGTAATCCTGGAAACTGTTTTTAAATATATGAATGACAAGGAGGTGATTGGGAGTCGTCAGTACGGATTTATGAAGTCCCCTTATTAGGTTGGTCAAGCATGGATTGACCGACCTAACAGCCTTCTAAAACCAGATGACTGCCTTGGACCTTGACGGAAAAGCAGTGGATGTTCTATGCCTTGACTTTAGTAAGGCTTTTGGCAGTGCCTCTCATAACATCCTCATTGACAACCTGGTGAAATATGGATTAGATAAGTGGACAGTGAGATGGACTGAAAATTGGCTGAGGTGTTGAGCTCAGAGGGTTATGATGAGCAGCACAAAGTCCAGCTGGACACCAGGAATGAAGCCTCTAGTATGTGAGGAGAGGCTACGAGAGCTGAGGTTGTGCAGCCTGAAGAAGAGAAGGCACAGGGGGATCTTATCCGTGTGTATAAGTACCTGATGGGGGAAGTAAAGATGGATACAGTCTCTTCTCAGTGGTGCTCAGTAACAGGACAAGAGACAGTAGGCACAAACTGAAATATGAAAAATTCCATTTAAACATAAGAAAAAACTTTTTTATTCTAAGAGTGGTTGAGCACTGGTACAGGTTGCACAAAGAGGTTATGGTGTCTCCATCCTTGGAACTATTCAAAACCCCGCTGGATGTGGCTCCAAGCAGTCTGCTGTAGTTGACCCTGCTTTGAGCAGGGAGCTGGACTGGATGATCTCCAGAGGTTCCTGCTGCCCTCCACCAGCCTGTGGTTATGTGGCACAGCTGCATTTTATTGTAATGATTCTAATTTGGTGAATACCGTAAGAAAAATACCTTTCTTCTGCTGCCTCTCTTGCAGCTGCAGAATAAGGGAGCTATAGACAGCAGCACCCATCAAGCATTGTGGCAGAGAGACCCTTGTGAGCCAGGAGTCAGGAGCAATGGGCTGAAGATTGTGGCGGGCACGGAGGAGCCAGCTGTGGAAGTTCTGGATTGTGTCTGAGAGATGCATCTTTCTGGACACAGTCAGATGCATTATGCTGACACAACTGGCAAATTATAGGGAACTTCTTATTAAACCTTTGGTAACATACCTCTGGTTCATTCCATTAGTCCCAGAGCTTACCAGTCCCATTTAAAGGAAAATGTTGGCAGAGAAAGTGCATGTGTGTCCAGGACATTCTGATAAATTTGAAAAACTCCCCTCTCCCCTCAGGAACCTTGGATTCATACTGTAGATGCTGCCAGTTTTTCACTGAGTAATGGTTGTTGGATCTGCATAATAATTCCTTGACATATAAGATCCTAGGAGCTTCTCCCACATTACACTAAAAATCGTTTTATTTCTACCCAGTGTTTTTAAACAGGTAAAAATACTATCCCTGAAATTGTCTAGTTTGTGGGTGTGCAACCCATGGTCCTCAAACCTCCCAGCTGTGACTCTCCAGAGCAGTTCTGTTAAAAACGTGTATTTGACTGTGTGTTGAAAGTCATCTGCTTGAGCTATGCTTGCCATTTGTAAACTGAGGTGTTGGATCAGTTTGGGGATGGATGAAAGGAGACATCATGCACATCTTCCCTGTGTGCCTCTCCTGATGCCCCAGGAGTGCTCTGGGTTGGTGTTGCTGCCTCTTGCTTTCAGTTGCTGCTGCTGACTTAAAAGGCAGGCATTTGTTCAGTGAAATGGTACGTAAGGTCCTGCCTTAGGGATAGGGTGAAGTGTTGTAGTGATATATGTAAATAATGAAGACACGCACTGTGTTGATGGGAGGAAAAGCATGGTATTGAGTGCAAAGTGTTGCTTGTTATTAGTGCAGGAGTCTCATCTTAGGAGAGTCAGGACTATACTATAAATTCACATCTCTTGCTGCTCTGAAAATGTCCTTGGTGTTAAAAAGGGAAAGCTTGGCAGTATTTGGGGGGCTTATGGCAGGGCTTTGAATTCCTACCTTGATTGCTGTATGGCACGACTCCTCAGCAAGTCACCAAGCTCTCCAGCAAATCATTTTGAACAGCTACCACATCTTCACTCAGTCAAAAGAAAACTGTATGTAGCAAATGTCAGTAAAGGTAAATGTAAACGTCCACTTCAATTTTGAAAAGTTATCAGGTCATCTTTTCAAATTTAGTTTCAGAGGAGCTTTGCTAAGATAGAGGGCAATGTTTCTATCCTGAATGATGTTCTCCCCTTCTATACATTGCCCCTGTGAGATCAAAAGTGTGTTTCTTTCTTGGTCTCATGACTCATACTCTCTATAACTGCAGGTAGCAAACTTGCAAGTCAGATTTCTTTCTGGTTATCTTGTCTTCAGATTTAGATTTGCCTCAGGCAGAAGCCTTTGTTTCACTTGTTGTTTTGCTGTGCTCAATACTTCAGCATCTCTGCTGTGATCATATTGTGATTATTAGAGCCTAGCTGTTACCCCGTTTCAGTGCTTGTCATATTTGGCACATCTTCTTGGAGAGAGCCCAAAACAAAATGAATGCACAGTCTTTAACCAATAAGTAATTCACTTCTAGGAAAACATTTCCCTTCCTTATTTTTTTTGCACAATTTATTTCAATTAACATCTGCAAACAAATCCTCTACTCCAACCCTGATCAAAGTCCTTTTCTGTCTCTTCTTGGTAAGGTTTTCCTAATGGGAAACCTAACATCCTGAAAGTCATCCAACTCTCCTTCCATGCCTTTGCTTTTTACATAAATTTAGATGTCAGCAGAGATTGTTTAATGAACTCTCTTTGGAGACTCAAAATCATTGCTGCCACTAATACCACCTTCAACTTAGGCTCTTTTATTATGGGAAATGTCAGACTGTGACATTTTAAATCCCTACCTATTTTCTCACTTCAGTCTTTTTTATTATTATTATTTCATTAATGTTGCAACAGAATTTTTCAGCACTATAATTTGAAAACCTGTTTTCTAAGTTTTTTATATTCTAAATAGAATTGACTCTGAGTTTATGGAAGCTATTTTTTTCCTGAATGTTCCTGGTATACTTTGTGTTTTAAGATAAATTGATTTTAGAATTCAGCCTATATTGGGAATTTAGTCTAATTCTTTAAAACCAAAAAGGTTTAAAATTTCCTGGGTGCTTCTTTTATACAGGAAGGGATCCTGAAATCATTATGTTACAAAATGTCAACTTCTTTGATCATTTTTCGGATGTCTGGAGAAATAGATAATGCTACAAGTGTATCAGTGCAGGATTAAGCTCTATTATTTACTTTATACAAATGTGGCAGCTAGTTTAGCTGATATTATTTCAGAAGCATTTTTTATTTGTTTACTACTGAATATAAAAATTCTCCTACTATTTACTCACTTCTTAGAAACAGTATTTGGAAAGGTTTGCGAAATGTAGATCACGGCAATGTTTTTCTCTTAGCAGCTGCCATCCCTTAGCCGGGGCCTGTACTATAACATTATCTGGGGGCTCAAGATGGCACTGAAGCCAAATGTTGCTGTAGGCTGCATCAGTAACTTTTGCCAAGAGGCTTTTCTGGCCAGTGGCTTTTCAGGCAAGAAAACCCAGTCAAAGGAGAACTGGCTTGCACTTCACTTCTGCCTCTGCACGCAGAATAGATGTCAGCGTCTGGCTTGATCGGGCTCAAGTGATGTGACTGCAAAATCAGGCGCAAAACTGAGTATGAAGTTGATAATGGTTGTGGAGATGTAGCTGCAGTTGGACGTACAGCTTTGTTTCCTTAGTGCAGTTTAGAAACTAGGTTTCTCAGGTACTTTTGGAAGCTGCAAATCCATGGATTTGGTGTGGTGTGTTGAGATAAGGAGATAGGAATTATGTGGAGGAGTAAACAAGTAGGTAACCTGAATGGTGTTAGCTTTCGCATTCTTATGCTGTCTAAAGGAACTCGGCCGAATACTGAGGGTTTTGGAGGATGTTGGCCCTACATGTCTTCCATATAGTCACTAGGGGCCTGTTTGCTCCCTGGTTAGCATTGGCTATGTTCTGCTTTGTCTAACGTTGAACGACCTGAAGCTTCTGCCACTGTTATTTAAAATACCATCATATAGGCTGTCTTGCTTTTGGAAGAACGGTCTTACTGCTTTGGTGCTTAAAATCGTGAGCTGTAACCTCTCCACAGTGTAGCCCTGAAGCAGTGCTGCTGCTAGAGGTTGGCCCCTTGCCTGTGGCTGGCTGTTCTGGTGGCCTGAAGCAGAGCTGGGCTCTACTGCCACGTAAAGGCTGCAGCGCAGTACGGCAGCATCTGCTGCTGTGGCACTTCCTAACGGAACACGCCATGGGTACACTGGGCAGGTCCTTGTGGTCAGAAAGTGTTTTCTTGATGACAATAAATATCGCACAGATCTGCGTTTCTCAGCCAGTCATGGCCTGCGGGGTTCAGAGAGCAGCTCTCCTTCAGAGACCTTCAGCAACCTGTTTTAACTCCTCTCCAGAGAACAAGTATGCTATCCTCCCTCAGCTGGGTGTCCAACACATCGAGAAATGAAACATCAGGTCCTTACCAACTTTATTTTTCCGAAGAGACACCCCTGTGGTCTTTAGATTATGCCAAAACAAAAAG